AATAAATGAATAAATCAGAGTTATAACAATTTTAACACTTGGTAGGGGCGCTCTGATTATTTCGAAAATGTTCACATTGAAAATTTCTATTCTACCAATTTATTTGATCCTTTTAACGTCGTTATACTGGAAAAACCTATTTGTTGGTGTCTATGCAGATGGTAGAGTGGTCGGTATGCACATCCACAGTCACATCCTTTTATTGGTTTGCTTGCTTTTCTTTTCTCATCGTTATGAATCAATGAATGAGACAGTAGATTTACGTTCGAATTAATTAATTAGCCCTCATTCCGATTGCACATGGATAACTTAAAACTCGATATTATCTGTTCCCATAGGCTTGTGATATGCAATGTTCATACGAAAAGTTCATTTTTTCGGGTGTGGGTACTTGTGTTCGTGATTTGAAGACAGTGCTCGCACCCACATCCATCTACTCTGAGAGTTCGAAATATAAATAGTTTGAGAGTTCATGTCAAAGTTTACGGATGATAGTCTGACAGTAGTCACTTGATCATCATCATTACCCAGTCAACCTGTCTGTTATACTAACCCACATTGTCACCTTGTCATGTTCTTTTCATACTCTTTCACCCAATCGAGCAAAAATTTGTGAATCGCGAAATGTGTCAATTTCATCTGAATCCGTTCACGTCAGAATTGAGCGGTTATATAGATCTTTATGCGTTTTCTCAATGAATGATGGTCGCATCCACTTCACCAGTCACTGAACGAATCATTGTGAGACACGAATCAGAATATTCATTAGATTTATCTGAGTTGATGGAAAAATGATCTCACCATGATATCACGTTTTCACATTAAACACATGCTTTGACTTCTCTAGAGCGTGTGTGGTGGTGTGGGTGTGGGTGTGAGTGTGAGTGGGGGTGGATTTATTTCTTATGTTAACATCCAGACCAGTGTTTTATCCAGGTTTTTCGTTCCGGGGGGGCAGACATAGGTTTGTAAGCAAGTAACTACAATCAATGTTGTCGAGTCATAATATGCACATTTTCAACAGATCGTGTTCTTTAAGTTATAACATGCACAACTTCATTATTTCATTTAATTGAAAAATACGTATAACATGTACAAAGAACAAATAGCAATAAATATACCAAAAGAAAAGGTAGAAAATTATACGAACAATGTAAAAAGCCATATCATATAACTCAAACAGCTAATCGACGTGGTTTTAGTTTTTTCCAGTAATTGATTATTTCTTCTTTGATTTCTTCATTTAAAGTATCTTCACCTTCAATGGAAATTCTCATTAATTGATCAACATGTTGTATTGTTAATTGGTTTCTTAATTTTGTAAGAATTCTATTCATTGTTGAGAAATTTCTTTCGACTGTAGCTGTACTGATAGGGGCGACCAGAAAGATTTCTGCTGCTAATGATAACTGTGGATAAATTTCCTTTAACATACCATCTTGTACGAGCTTTATACAAATTTCTCTCTGAGTCATAAGTTTACCACCATTTTTTTTTGCTAATAAATATGTACGAAATGTTTTCCATTCATAAATGATAGATTCATCAATGTCACTTGCATAATGCTGTTGAATGGTACGTATTTCCTCATCACCATAATCCTTATTATCGTTCAAATTTTCCATATCAAATATCATAAAACAATTGAGTAAATTCAGAGTACTATGTTCGAAACGAGATTGAATATTATTAATAACATTTTCAATGAATGGAAGAACTTTTGTAGAAAAAACTTCACTGACATTTAATTCTAAATTTGATATTGATGATCTTGAAATTCGAATTGTAGAAGAATTTAATGATAATTTTTGAATAGTTTCAATTATAGCAACATAATCATCAGAATTGTAGTCTTTAAGTTGTTCAAGTCGAAGGAGAGTTGATGTTAAAAAATCTTGTAATTGCTTGAAATCAGCCGCTTTTGTTTGAATAGATTTTGATAAAGTTGCTAAAGTGTCTAATATTGGTTGAAGTGTATGAAGAATAAATGCAGTTCCTTCATTCGATAAAATATTGTAGAGACCTAGTGCTTCCGCACTATCTTCATTGTTTTCATTATAAATACTTTCAAGTGTTATTAATAATGATTGATAAGATTGTAAAAGAGATCGAATAGCTAAAGAATTAGAAAGCCAACGTGTATCACCGGGTTGGATCAATTTAATATGTTGATTCCTAAAAATATCTTGAATATTTTCAAATAAAATTAATCTTACCGATGACCGATTGATAAAATTAACTAATGATTTAAGTGCAGATAAGCTTCTAGAAACATCAGGAGAATCTTCAGCAGCAGAAATTACAGCTAGTTGTAACAAATGAGCTCGACAATAAATAAATAATATTGCTGTATTGAATGCATCACGAAATCTAGCTGCAACACCATTATGTATTCCACTGAAGACTGCAGCGCCGTCAAATGAGACGAAGCGAATTTTGTTTAAATTAATGTTTTTCTTTTGTAAATCCGTTACAATAGAATTAAAAATAGATTCTGCATCTTTATTTTTTAAATGCAATAAACTTACGTAACTTTCACATGGTGCTCCAGTCATTTGATCACAGTATCTGATGCAAATACATAAATTTCCATGTCTATTAATATCAGTTCCTTCATCAGACATGATGCTAATAAACCTTGACTGTCGAATTTTATTAAGAATGTTCTGTTCTAAAATTTCATTGGTAGATTCAAGAAATTCAGTTACCGATGTTGTACTATTGTAAGTAGAATTTTTCTTGCAATTTTGAAAAAAGTCGGCGAGTTTAGAACTATGATCAAGACGACCAATCAATTGTAGTAATGGATCGTACATGGTTGTATGTGGTAATTCATTTTTGAAGAGAAAATAACAGCAATCAAGTAAATCACTTAAACGATCTCTATTTTCTTTCTTTTGTGTTTCACTTACCGTAACTATTTGCTGCAGAACAGAACCTTCTTGATGTCGAAATGTGTCGTTGTCAATTGCCATTAGATGATATAGTGATCGAGAATGTTTCATTAATTTTCCATTATCACCTAGTGCCTTTTTCCAATTAGTAAATGCAATCGAAGTAAATACACCTTTTGTTTTTTGGTCCATATCCCGGAATAATGGTGTGTTAGGTTTCCAATAGTTGCGGCATATTTGACAAAATCCACCTGTATTTGATTCGTAAAGAAGCCATGAAAATTTTTGTGTGTACGATGGCTTGTAAGAACGTTTCCCAATGTTGCTGGAGATGGATGTCGAACCTAATGATTATTCAGATTTATTGAAGATGAATCTAGAACTGGCAGTGTAAAAGCTTTACTTGTAATAGAGTTGTCTTCAATGGATTGAATATCAGTTGTTGTGCCATTATTGATTAAATCAGAGGAGTCATTTGCAACAGTGTTTGATTGAGTAATGATATTTTGATTTTCAATACGACTCCTTTTTGCTAACTTATCAACATCATTATTTTCTTTTCTTTTCCCAAAATATTTATCGAGAGAACTTTGTTTTGACATTCTCAAGATGAGTTTATAATCGCTATTTGATTTGAAAGACGAGATAGAAAAAAGTACAAAAATACGATACTGTAGTGTGAACGAATAAATGAAAAAAAAGATATATAGGTGTGTTTATTTTAAACATTTCTGATCTTTTGAAGTCAATCAATGTAACACAGACCTAACACATGCAGTTAAACATTCTTGTTAGATTAATTTAATGTGTATAATACACAATGTTACGTTGTTTAATTCGTAGTTAAATTACATACATACGCTTATTTACATGTACAGTATTATTCATTCGATAGAAACTATCCTATGCGACGTTATCTTCTTATGAATGTTGAAAAGGTAGAAAAAAAATGCATATTCTCATCATATTATGAGCAATGATGTGATAAGAAACATTTTCAATCAAATTGAAAATAATGCGAAGCAATATATATGT